CCTGTCTCACACACACAGAAAGAAAAGAACGACAGGAAAAATGAACAAAGAAGACTATTTATACACAAAGAAGAACAATGGCAGCAGATTCTAAAGGGAAAGAATAAGCAGGCTTTTTTTAGATGAACTAGAGAGTTCTCCGGGTTGCTTTGCTTTTGGCTCAGCACAAAGATACATCTACCCAATTAGAAATGCAACTTGAGAAACCCACTATAAAACTAGTGATGTTTTCCACAGGCATAAAGTGGGTGAACGTATTTCATTAGCACCTATTCACAAGCTTGGATAAGTTCTATATGAATAACAACCAGTGCAAACAGAGACATCGGACTGTAAGCTCCTGAGTCTGAGATGCTAGGAAGACTCGGGTATTTAATCCATGTCGGAGCTGCCTCTCCACAGGACCCTGCTGGAGGCTATACTTCCGCGTGCTTGGCACTGAGCTATAGGATGCATTCAGTGGGCATTTCTGGCAGCCCAGTTCACCTTTTTTTTCTCCGTTTATAAGATTTGGACCTTGGAGCTGAACCAGGGAGCTAGCAAAAGTCAAGCAGACTTGTAAAATTACAGCCATGTGCAGCTGCACAACACAGCACCACCACTAGCAGCCGCGTTAAAGTATTTATAAAGAGAGAATTTCAGAGCTGAGCTGAGTAATACAGGGGATATATATATGTGTGAATAAGATTTTTTAGGTATATTTTTCTGAGAGAGATTGATGAAGTAAGGTTCATCTGATGGAAGAAAAGAATAAATAATTCACCTATATATGTTTAAGGTTAACAGCCTTGTAAAATCTTTTCGAACATAAATCTAAACTTTATATTTAAAAATAATATAAAACAGTAGAAGAGCGCAGCGAACATTTGTCTTATTGATTTGTTCATTCATTTATTTTTGGCAGCCGAGAGTTCGTTCTTCCTTCTTACAGTACTTGGATTTCCTGCTGGTAAGTTCCCTCTTGCCTGTCTACGTGGAACACCCAGGTGCTCTGCCTGCCTTACCTCCCTCCATGGAGGTCAGAGGCTTCCTGGCCAGACCAGGCATCTCAGTGCCCTCGTAGGGGCAAGGGGCAGACACATAACCTAAGCCCAAGCTCAGCCATAGGACTTTATCTTCCTAGGACCTTGATGTGAAGAAACAAAAAAAGTGATGTAAGTTCACCCATTTGTTCCCAAGAGGGTGCTCAAGACAGACTCTCCAGATGTCTGTTTCCTGTCTGCTACCTGCAGGTTCTTCACTTCCCTTCAATTCTGTATGCTTTCCTACACTCTTCCAATGCTTTCCCTTTTTCTCAAGTGATTCCAACTCTGTTTCAGTTGTCCACCCCCAAAGAATAAGTGTTGGGTACCAGGTGAGCAGAGAACCAAGTCAAAACCATGTTGATTGAATTGGCCAATTGGGTTGTAAGTGAGGACAGAACCTGGAAGAGGCAGAGATCCCTGGGAGACGGGGCAAGTACTGTGGGGGTGTCAGGTGTGACAATGCCAAGAAAGCCCAGGAAAAGGTCACCAGGACTATGGCATTAGTGAGACAGACTGAGCTCCAGAAACACAGCATCATGAGCCGCAGCCCCAAAGAATGTGTGTACTTAAAGTAATGTCACGTTTGGGGCCATAAATTGACATTGTTATATTCAGAAGCAGCTTCTATACCACAGAAAAACCTACCAGGAGATTTAAAAAGTCTTTCACTTCCTCGTTCAAAGTTAATGTTCAAAATAAAGCAACTAGATCACAGATCACAACTTAACATGTTGGAATATTAAAAAGAAACTTACTGCGTGATTCTTCCTTCTTGCTGTGTGCTCACCTTTTCCGCTCACTTGACTGAACAATAGAAATTAGGCTTATCGGTTTCACCTTGTTTATAGCTAAGTTTACAACCCAGGTCATCATTGACACTGTTTCCCTCTGAATTCACAGACCCAGAAACCTTCTCAGGAGGATTATTTTCATAAATTCCCTTAAAATGGGCTCACATTAAATTTTATATAATATCACTTTAAAAATCTAAAGTTAAAACCCAAAATAAAATTATATCTTCCACTTAATTTTATTAAAGATAATTTTCTGGATTAATAAATACTGCCAGACCCATGTCACCTCATTTGTTTGGAGACGAAACATAAGCAGACAAATAAATGGGAAGAGGTTTACTTTAATCTGTCTAATCATACCTGAATAGGGACTCTCTTGACAGCCAAATTTCATTCTGTTTCACAGTTTTCCAAGAGAAAAGCAGCAGCAGCAGCACAGTGGACACAATGAGGGTGGTGGCTCCACATCGATTCAGCCAAGTGCAGAGCTTGCTCAATCCATGCACAAAAAGGATGCAGTAGCCCATGCTGGAAAACAGGGTGGGAAGAACAGGATTACTTTGGCGGTGCAATGAACTCCCCCTGAGCATCACATCCTATATAACCAATTTTCTTTCTTTCTTTTTATTTTTTGAGACATGGTCTCACTATGTCACCTGGGCTAGAGTGCAATGGCGTCATCACAGCTCACTGCAACCTCAAACTCCTGGGTTCAAGTGATCTTCCTGACTCAGCCTCCTGAGTAGCTGGGACTACAGGCGCATGCTACACATCCGGCTGATTTTTCTATTTTTTGTAGAGACAGGGTCATTCTCTTGCTCAGACTGGTCTCCAACTGCTGACTTCAAGCGATCCTCCCGTCTCGGCCTCCCAAAGTGCTGGGATTACAGACGTGAGCCACCGCACCCGGCCATAACTTTCAAATAAAGCTTGTCTTGTGCCAGAGAAACAAATATGGACTTCCGTGCTTTATGCATAATTAACGGGTCCATTCTGTAAGGCATTTTACTACCATGTGTGCTAGTTCTTTGGCATTAGTGTGGAGAATCACAGGTTCATCTTGCAGGCTCCAAGTGTCCTGGATTTCAGCAGCTCAGGCATCCTAAGAAGTCCCACATGCATGTTCTAGGGTCCTGAAGGGATCCTCTGACCCAAGCTCCCTCATGTCACTTGTCATTGTATAACCTCATTGACACCATGTGTCCAAATTTGGAGTCTCTGCTGCAGCAAGTCACATCACAGCTTTGTAGAGGACAATCTCTGAGAGCTCCCTGTCAGGTCCTGGGAGGCATACTGATCACTAAGGGGCATTGATCTCTGTTTCCAGGGCCAGCCAAAGCCCTTCCGCTTTGGAAAATCTACCCACACCTACAACCCAACTCCTGAGCTTCACAGCTTGGAGCTCATCATCGACAACCAGTACTGACATGATTTTCTTGCTGACTCCAGCTCGGTTTTACCAGCAAGCACAGAGAGTTCACGTGGTATCTGAGTGGGACCTTGCATGCTGGTATTATGTCTCTAACAGCCTTTGGTTTGGTGCAACATGGCCCCTTACATCACCTGTGTACCCACAGATGCTTCCTGCCTGCCAACTGGAATCAGTGGAACATAAACTTTTAGTTTGTATCCATTATTGCTGTATGCATTTTAGTCAATATCTGTTTCTTTCCAAAGATGATAACTACAAATAAATTACTATAGAATATGTTAAAAGTGAAGCAAGCTTGTATAAGGAAATCCTACATTAGTCAGAAACAAATATTATCAGCAGCCAAAAATAAACACAACCCATATACTTGCTCAGTTTTTATTCTTTTCTTTTTCTTATGCGTCTGGCAGTATTCTACGCACTAAAAATACAATTTGGAATAGAATACAGGCCTCGCCCTCAAAGAATTCCAGTCTAATGAATCAGGTTAGTCTTGTAAAAGGAAACAACTAAATATTCTCATTCCTAAACACATCTCCTTTGACAAAACATCTCTTCACCTTCTGTTTTCCTTTCTAAATGCCTGTGCTTCTGTAACAAGAACAGAAAAACAAGAGAGAAACATTTGAGATTTGTGACTTGGAGCCCCCGGGAACTAAGTCAGAGCTCCTATTTCTCACTTCAAGACCCGTAAGTTGGCTGGTCCAGCTCCCTAACGGTTTAGGGTTCACTACTTGGCCAAAGAGAGTCACCACCCTTCTTACCACCGGGGACGATGATTTGAGCTAAAGAGGTCCATGTGCTCCATGACCCCCACCATGAGCACTGGATTTGATTGCCTTAGCTACATTGCAGAAGCCTTGCACATGCCAGAACACAGTCCCTAGTGCAAAAAAAAAAAAAAAGAAACCTTAAAAAAAACCCCAAACCTCTTCCCGTTTCTACAACTTCCCTGTTCAACCGTAAAGGTACAAAGCTTTTCTCCAAATCTTTTTTTGTTTGTTTTTTGAGACAGGGTCCCACTCTGTTGGCCAGGCTAGAGTGCAGTGGCATCATCGTAGCTCACTTCAACCTCAAACTCCTGGTCTCAAGCCACACTCCCGGGCTCAAGTGGCCTCCCGACTCGGCCTCCCGTGTAGCTGGGGCTACAAGCATGCACCACAACACCCAGCTAATTTTTAAATTTTTTTATAGAGATGAGGTCTTGCTATGTTGCCCAGGATGGTCTCAAACTCCTGAGCTCAAGAGATCCGCCTACCTCAGCCTCTCAAAGTGCTGGGATTACAGGCATGCACCCAGCCAAATCTTTTAACATTATACAACGGCCCTTGCTAATGTCATTACTGTCTGACCACAATAGCTGCTCAAGTTCATGAGGCTATTTGCTAGCTGTTCCTAGCCCTAGCTGATCCCAACCCAAATTGAGCAGGGAGCTTCTAGGGCCATATGAAGGCCCTCTGGCCTCCATTCTTTCATTCACCAGATATTTAACAAACATCTACTATGTACCTAAAACTAGTATAGACATCAAGAACATATCAGTGAGCAAAACAGACAATAATCCTTATCCTTGTGGAACTCATGTGAGTGGGGAAAAATAGCTAATAAACAAGTAAATAAAACATAGGGCTTGTACATGGTGATATGTTACACGGAGAAAAATCCAGAAGGGGAGAAGGTTGAGATTTTAATATGAGTGGTCAGGGAAGCCCTCTCTGACATTTGAGCAAAGGCCTGAAATGCATGGGGAACATACCACGCAGACACCCACACCTCCAACGCCAGCTCTCTTCCCACTGCTATCTGCACACAGCAACACTGCCAAGAGCTACCATTTAGGAAGCCCATCTTATGTGGCAAGTGCTTTCTATATGTGATCTCAGTACATCCTCACGACACTATGGGTTGCCATTATTAATGTTTAACCCATGAAGAGAAAGGTAAATGGACTTGTTGAATTAGCTTATACATTCAGTCAATAGTAGAGCAAAGAGAAACTCAGGAATTTCAGATTCCAGAGCCTACATTCCACATTCTGTCCTCCGTTGGGGTTTGGACTTGACTGGCTGATTCCCATGTTCCTCACACCTTATCACACAGTGTCACCTACTCTCTTCCCAACTACTCCATTCATGAAATCTCAATAGTCATTTACTGCCTCCTTGCAGGAGACAGAGCTGCCATCTGGCAGAACAGTGGGTACGAAAACACTGGGATTCCAACAGCTCCAGAGTGATGGCCACGAAGTGACAGAAGACAAGAATAATTAAGCTAAAAACAAAAAAATTAGCTATTTTATATGTTTGTATGTTTACTGAGCACTTGCTATGCGCCAGGCACGGTTCTGAGTGCTTTACATGGGCCTCTCCACAGTATTCGTAGGGCCTGGGGCAAAGACAGTACTGGCTTTAAATATATTATCTAATTTAAAATTGTAATCCAAAGTGTCCTCCATTTCATAAATGAGGAAACTAAAGCGTAGAGGAGTTAAATAACTTTCCCACAGCCCCAAAAGCTAGTAATAAAGTCAGATCTGAAGACTCATTGCCCTAACACTACGTTATAATCTAACGGTCAGCAAACTATTTCTGTAAAGGCCCAGACAGTAAATATCTCAGGTCTCTCAGGCCATGAAGTCTTTGTCATTCCTACTCAACTCGGAATTTGTACCAGGAACGCAGCCATCCACACCATGTAAAAAGCATGGGCGTGCCCATGTGCCAATAAAATTTATTCATAAAAACAGGTAGTGGGCTAGATTTGGCTCACGGGCATACATAGTTTGTTGACCCCTGTTCTAACCAAAATGAAGGAGAACACATTCCTTTTCAATCAGCACAGGCATCTGTATCAAGTAACATGAATATTTTTTCCAAAAGTCCTTGTATTGACATATGGTTTAAAGAAATGTTAAGTCATATAAAATAATCTCTACTTAGGTTTGCAAATTTCTTAGAGAGTATCACATTCTTAAAAATCTGACACAAATATCACAGAGATCAAGACATTTCTCCTTTATGAAACTTCATCTTTCAACATCTGCTTGAATGCAGATCTCAGCAGCAGGGGAGAGAAACGCTCTCTCTCTCCATGGCTGGGGGCGGGACAAGGCCTCGTTTTGCAAGTGGGAAATCAAGCAAATGAGAAACTACATGCTCCTCCAGTCTCCAGGGAGATGAAAGCAGAGTCCTGCTTGCCCTGGTTAGTATGGTAAAGGAGACGCCGGGCTGCTGACCAGACACCCCCACACGGGGCCCGGAGGAGCCAGTGCGAACCACTGACGCTTCACAAAATCATAACCTGGAGAACTTAAAGCCAAACTCAGGTTCCCAAATACATGGTTTAGCTCAGTACTAAGACGCATTTTCAAAGCACGTGTAAGAAACATCACTGCTGCCTCTGAGAAGGGAGTGAATTCCTCACACACAGACCCCATCGCTCATTCACAGGCTGATGGGATCTCCCACTTGCATGCTGATTTTATAGACAAGCTGCTCAGCATGCAGTGTGCTTAAATAACTAAATGCTTCAAAGAGAATTTAACAGGAAATGCAAACCAACAATGTTTGTCCTTTCACATTAGAATAACAAATGTTTTAAATCTGTTGTTTTGAGAACTTTGTTAGCAGCTAATCATTGTGTAATAGTACAAGTGTTACATTCCCGAAACTTGCCCAGAAGCTTTTAAGTGATAAAGAACAACACTTCCCATTCACATTTATAGCAACCTGCAAAGATGTCTACTTTCTACTTCTGACCTAAGCATTTTATGATGTTTGCTATAGATGCACATTCTGTTTAATTATATGCAACAAAGAATATCTTGTTTATATCTTCAGTACAAAAAGTACTGAAATTCTACCTTTCAATCTGTCCACAAGTGCAAACGACCCACTGAAAGTATCTATGAATAACATTAATAATAAAAGACAGACACAATCTTACCATTTTATTCCTTTAAAGAATTCCCAATTTTATTTATTTATTATTTTTTAGAGAAGGGGCCATTGCTCTTGTAGTCCAGGCTGGAGTGCAGTGGTGCAATCCTAGCTCACTGCAGCCTGGAACAATTGGACTCAAGTGATCCTCCTGCCTC